GGGCTGGATGGGGCGGCGGCCAGCGGTCACGTTTGTTAACACGGCGGTCCGCACGCTATCTGCACTGGACGGGTCATCTGATAGGGCGGGGCGGACCGTGGCGTGGCGCGCCGGCGGCGAGAAGTGGGCAGGAATGTTTGCAAAAGCAGCAAAAGCAGGAGCGGCGCTCGGCCCGGCCTGGCCTGCCATGCGGAAAGTCTACTTCGCAGCAAAACGCTGGCAATTTGGCAGAAAAAAAAATGATATTAAAGCCGGGCTCGGCCAGGATCGGCGCTGCTCAGCGCGTGGCTCTGCTGAAAGGACACGGGTTGTTGATGAGCACACTCGGCACGGCGCCGGCCATGCTCGCGCTGTTTGTGTTGTGAGTTTTGCGCCTAATGGGATTACCGGACAAATATTGGACTATGCCAGAGCACGCCTCAAACTCCGCCAGAACAGACCCGCGCGGCCTGAGTCAGCTCTCAGGCCGCGGGCGGGGCTGGCGGGCCGCGATGGGCACACTGCGGACACACAACTTGCGGCCGCGGCGATGGACCCACACATCTCGCCCGGATGGACCCGCGCTCGTGGAAAATAAAAAGTTCCCTACCTCCCTCACTTGCGCGGAGCGGATCGGATAAATCATTTCCCATTTCAATATCCTCGGAGGCAATGGTTACCCATAATGGGCCATAAATTCGAAGCGCGTCGCTTTCTTTATTATTGCTTTCCTATTATTTTTCCCCCCACATATTTTCGCCCCGCACCCACGCACCCTCCCTGCTGCGAAAAGGCACGCCCGGGCAGTGGCACCGCCCAAGGGCCCCCGCGCACGGGAGAGCAATTCCCAACTGATAACGGGGCTTCAGCCACGCCAACGTTAGGTCCAAGTTGGCTTTTAATCATTTCTTAACTTTGACCACCTGAGCGTGCTTCTCGGCAAGAATTTTTTTTATTTATACTTCGTGTTTGCTGGATACTTTAACGAATGAAACTGTACCATTATTTTATTTGACAGTGACACCCGATGAGGTATCTTGGCCATCGCATCGCGTGCGGGTGCATAAATAGGGCTCCCCTCCTCTCCCTCCTGCCAACCCACCCCAATCGCGCTGTACCTTGTGCACGCCCACTGACACGTATAGCGATAATTTCACTCACCGCTCTGTTGCATAGCGCTCCCTCCATCACTCTCTACAGTGCTCTCACCCCCTCTCTCCCGCTCTCGCTCGCTCTCGAATGGCGAGACAAAGATTTTTCTGAGATTCTATCTTGCCCATCGAGCATCGAGGCTAGGGTGGAAATGGCGAGAAGTGCAAGGGTAGGGGGTGGGGAAGATCGACCCATACTACGCTACTACGCTGCTACGTTGGACTGCGTCCTTGTGCTTGTAACGGCGCTGACAGCTCGCTCAGAGTACGTGCGAGGTGGGAAGTGTAGACGCACATTCTACACGGTTTAATTTAAAGTATAGTTGACAGGGCGACGCAGTGGACGAGGAGGACGAAGACGACGATGCGAGGACGTTTCTCACGACGAGGTTGTTGCTCCGTTGCAGGGTTCATCGTGGTGGCCGCCTGCGTGATGACCTTCGAGGCGAGGGACTCGGCCGCCAAGGTGGTGCCCGCCCGGCCCAAGTACAACAGCGCGGTCCCGGCCGAGAACCCCTCGGCCCCCGCGGCGGTCACGTCCGCCACCGGGCCCAGCAGGTCGCCGTCCAGCCGGCGGCAGTCCGCGCGGCGCTCGGCCGGCTCGCAGACCAGGGCCTCCAGCCGACGTAACCAGGGTAGGCCGACTAGCACAGCCGCAGCGAAATTAATTCAAATTTTCTGATTATGTAAAAGAGCTTTTAAAGTCGCGGGGGGCGGGCGCCGAAACACATTCATTTCTTATAGCTAGTTCCGCTTTCGCACTGATTGAGTCATGGTTAATTCAGCGGCCCGCAAAGAGACGGCGGCATAATACCCATTTTAAAAACATTTATTCCCCGATTACAGAGAGCCAGCTCAACGCGGACCCGAACCGGCGAGCGCTCACCGCGGCCTTCGTCCAGTTCTCGAGGTGAGGACGACGCCGTCGTGTCGTGTGGCTCGCGGTCGCGTCAGTCTGGGTCTGGGACTCATGCCCGGGTTTGTGCCGCCAGGTCGCTGCAGCGCACCGCAGCCGTGCCTCTGGGGGGCGGCCTGCCCCCGGGGGTGCTGCCGGGGCCAGCGTCGGGCGACGGGGACGTGTCGGCGACCGGGTCACCCGTCAAGAGGAGCCCCTCCGCGCCGGACCTGATGGGCGCGGTGGCCGCCACGAGGAAGGCGTCGCAGATCCTCTCAGCAGCCAGGTGGGACCTCGAGCTGGGGGACTCCAAAATCCCCCGTCAGCCCCCAGCCGGTCGCTGACGCTCTGTCTGTTCCAGGACGGGCCGCACGGCCACGCGCCGCGAGGGCGGGGCCGGGGGCGCGGGCGCTCCCGGCCGCGGCCGCTCCACGCTGCGGCCCTACCCCGCGCTGCACCGGCAGGCCCTGTCCGTGGACTGCCAGGAGGTGGGCCTCAACCCCATGTCGGCGTACGGCCTCGGCTCGTGCTCGCCGCCGGGGCTGTTCCTCAGCCGCCAGCACTCGGGCCACTCGTCCAGGGGCAGCCACGACTCCATGGAGCTGGGGGCGAGCGCCTGCGGGGCCAGCATGGCCAGCGGCTCCAACCGCGGCAGTCAGGTGAGCGTCAACGGCAACGTCAGGCGACGGCTTCGTCAGCACGAAAAGACGAAAAAGAATGTCAAACCGGCGGTCACCCCTTTGGCAGGCTTCCATGGTGATGGACCTTCACCTACCCAACGACTGGCCCGTGACGCTGCGTGTTCGGGACCAGTCGCAGGGG